ACCAGAAGGAACACCAACTCCGGCGGCCGCAACTCATGTCTATAGAGACGGTCCCGCTGCTCAACACACCTCGGTCGAAATAGTCAGACATTCCGTGGTAACTGAGCAGCAAAGTACATCAACAAATACATTCATAAGTCATTCATACATGGACCAGCGTGAATCGTCAGCGCGCATATGGCAACGTTCGGTCCCGCCTGTATGCCCACCATACCAAGGAGGACGCAGTTCCGTCGGTCGAGCCCACATATTCACGAAAATTGCTCCAGCGCACAAAGAATGATGAAGGACCGAAGCGCATTGGAGTCGGCAAACCCTGCGGTCCTCGTGAATTTTGCCCGCAGATAATCCTTGGAAAACTCTGAGAAAAGCGACTGGAGCGAGGGGGGCTGATGGTGATTTGGGAGCTGCTCGCTGGTTGACAAAACGTCGGGGGTGCCTGGAGAGCCCGTGGGAGACTGCGCTGCCTGGCGCCACTCGTCTTCGGTGCGGGCACCCCATAGCCCTTGACTGCAGGGCAGGGGCATCTTCAAGATGAGCTCATCGTTGAGGGGCTCGTAGTAGGGCGACTGGCGCCCTGAGTCGAGATCGCGGTTACTGAAGAAGTTGACAACGTTAGCGAGGAAGATGGTGCGGCGGGCCGTTTCGGTGACGGCCCATTTCACCCAGGAGCCGGTGGTGTCGGTGTCGGTGTCAGGCAGGAGGGCCGTATCGTGGGACTCGAGGTAGGACCGCGAGAAACACTGGGTCATTCTGGAGAGAAAGGGCGACTTCAGCCCTCTCGTGCGTCGCCTCCGCTTCCAGCTCTCGGATTCGTCGACGGGCGCCACGCTCATCTCGAGGATCTCGTAGAGGAGCATCGCATGCAGAGCGTCCCACTGCTCCAAACAGTGGTAGGTGGGCTGATGGTCTCATGGTCAGTCCGCTGGAGGTGATCTCTCGACCGCAGCCAGAGTGCTTACATATGACTCGATCAGGCTTTGCCGTTGTGCGTCCATGGCTCGCTTGACATAGGCCGCACCGTCCTTGGTGCCCAAAGCACTTCCGCAGCAGATGGCCATGGATGTGTGCGGCAGAATTGTCATGTCCGGCACATGCTCATTGAACAGAGTGCGGTGCAGAAATGGAGAGTAGAAATCGCCCTGAAGCAGGAGTCTTGGGTACTTGCGAAGTATACGCACGTAGTTGGCCGGGTGCCCTTCGGCCCCTTCCGGACTGGATCCTGATGCCCGAGGCGAGTTCGTGGCATCCCGCGAGCCGAGCCCGGTCAGGGCGGACAGACCGGGAATCCCTGGATCCGGCGGCGCGAGGGAAGTCTCCTCAAGTAGGGGAAAGGTGGTCGGGATCGCGGCCACCGGGCCCAGAGTAAATTGGTTGACCACGCTGGTCGACGGGGATGGCAATGACGGGAGATCGACTCGATCCAGTGCCCAGAGGAAGTTCTGTGGGCTCCATGAGTCCAGAATGTCGGCGGCAGGATCGCCCAGCGGGCTGCGACGGCCCCCCAGTGACGAGAGGTCGGCAGAGAGAGACGAGGAAGAGGCCGTGGCAGAAGAGGCGACTGCCACGGACACGTACTCGCAGAGGATGCCTCGTTTCGCACAGCGGGAGCAAGTCGGTTGTGTATAGCAGCATTTGGTCTTGGCCTGGGCGCAGGCATTACACGCTTTGCGACGCACTGCGGATTTGTTTGAGCGCAGACAGCGTCGTCGATGGCGCAAGAGGAGATCACGTCGTTGGAAGCTCTTGAAACAGGAGTCGCACACGTGAGCCCCGGTGGAAGGCACGGATCGTGGCATGGTCGAAGGGCAGCATCGAGGGTGATACCGTGAGAGAGAGAACTTGACGGAGTTCTCGACTCTTCTACCTAGTAGGTAGGTGGGCAGACAAGCGCCATCCCGTGTCGGGTAACGCGCGGGCGTTTAATTGTGATTTTAGAATCTAGACTAGATACATTCTGCTCAGTAGAATGCATGACCTACCGGTGCATATTTGTCATCAATATGGAACGAACAGAATGTTACTCAATCTTGTAGTTCAATACATCTCTGTCACTGAGAGCGGGGAAACTAGAACTATAAGATCAGGAATCAGCGTGGGTGGCGGACGGCCGTTGCTTAGGGTAGCCCTAGGCATACATAGTCCCTGGACTCCGGGCAGGACACCCCTAAAGCGGTCCCCGGAGTTGGTGGTCGTGGGCCCCGGAGCTGGTGGTCGACGCCGGAGTTTGGTGGATGGCTTCAATAGCTCCCAAGTCCGATCTTGCAATGACGGTTGCGTTAAATAGAGGTACATTCCCCCTTCTTACTCCTTCGTTCTTTGGATCATTCATGGCCAACAGGCAACCATTATGCTTGCTGAGTCGAACAGTTTCAGCGAGACTCGATCGGTCTCCTCTCGTGGTGGTCTCCCGACAGGTCAGCACAGTATATAGTATACTCTGGATTTTTCTGGTTGGATTGAAAGAGAAAACTAACCATTCCGACTGACAGAAGCCACCCTCCCAGATAATGAGAAAAGCACCAAAGACGAACATGTCTACATCGCGGATACCCTCCCTCTGCGACGCCAGATCCCCTTCATCCTGACCATCTGCTCGGCCATGTACACGAATCAGCTCGGGCTGGGCCAGACCATGGACATCGTCCCGGTCATTGGGGACTGGTACGGCATCACCAACAGCAACGAGCTGTCGTGGCTCGTGGCCGGCTACAGCTTGACGATTGGCACCTTTGTCCTGATTGCCGGCCGGCTGGGCGACGACTTCGGACACAAGAAGATGTTCGTCATCGGCATGGGCTGGTACGCGCTGTGGACGCTCGTCTGCGGTCTGGCCGTCTATTCCACGCAGGTTCTCTTCATCTTCGCCCGCGTCTTCCAGGGCATAGGCCCAGCCGTGACCCTGCCCAACGCGATCGCCATCCTCGGCCAGTCGTACGCCCCGGGTCCGCGCAAGAACATGGCCTTTGCCTTCTTCGGCGGCAGCGCCCCCTTCGGCGCCATCTCCGGCTTCGCAACGGGCGGCCTGTTTGCGTTGGCCTGGTGGCCGTGGGCGTACTGGAGCGCGGCCATCGCCCTCGCCGGTCTGGCCGTGGGGGCTATCTGGACCATCCCACCGCAGTTGATGAGCACCACGCGCAAAACGCGGACGCTGGGCCAGAAGATCGCACACCTCGACCTGCCCGGCTGCGTCACCGGCGTCGCCGCGCTGGTCTTGATCAACTTCGCGTGGAACCAGGCCGCCGGGGTCGGCTGGCAAGAACCATACGTCTATGCGAGCTTCCTACTGGGGTGCGTCTTTGCGGCCGCCTTCTTCTGGGTGGAATTGCACTGGTCGCCAGATCCCATTCTGCCCCTGGCGGCCTTCAACGCCGACATTGCCTTCGTGCTGGGCTGCACCGCCTGCGGCTGGGCGGCCTTTGGCATCTGGGTGTACTACGCCGCCGTCTTCGTCATGGAGCTGAACGGCGTCAGCCCGCTGCTCCTTGCCGCCTGGTACAGCCCGGTGATCCCCTCGGGGCTCGGCGCGGCGCTCGCGGTGGGCAAGCTGCTCGGGCGGGTCTCGGCCGCATGGGTCATGGTTGTCGGAATGGTCGCGTACTTGATCGGGTCGATTCTGATTGCCAGCATGCCGACGCACCAGATCTACTGGGGCAATTTCTTCTGGAGCGTGCTCATCATCTGCGTCGGTATGGACTCGTCCTTTCCCGCCGCGACGATTATCTTCTCGGATGCCGTGCCCGCCCAGTACCAGGGCATCGGCGCCAGTGTGGTCATGACCGTCGTGAACTATAGTATCTCCCTTGGGCTGGGCTTTGCCGGGACAGTGGAGCGCAAGATCAACAACGGGGGTCATACACATGACGATAAGAAGAAGGGATACCGTGGTGCATTCTACTTCGAGGTCGGGTTGGCCGGGTTGGGCCTGATGATGAGTCTTGCCTTCGTGGTCAAGGATAACTTGCGCAAGGCCAAGGTAGCTGCTGCGTCTGAGGCACAGCGTGTTTAAAGGCGAGACTGCGGGTGAAGGAATGGGATGAGTGTTGTTCTACGTCTAGTTGTATATTCTACTTCCCAGCTTTGGAGAATAACATGCATTAAAAGACACGTATAGTACATCTAGTTTGACATATAGTATAGAAACATAAAGGAAGGACCCCTGTCAAGTTCTGCATCAAGCGGCGAAGATATATCTATATCGATAGTCGGTTCGCAAGACTGAAAAGAGAATTTCCGCAAGTAATACCATGCGTGGGTAGCGCATATACTGATGGCAGGATAAATGTGGTCATTGCCAAAAGTTCTCACAGAGGCAAAAGATTGACGAAGCGGAGAAAACGGAAATTGGAAGATCTTGATCTCGATCGATTCAGAAGACTAGATCATGTTTGGTGTTTAAGGCGAATGGGCCAAACAAAAGATAACCAACGGACCTCTGCCTTCGCGTCGGATCTTGACATATGCGCCAGATGGGGTCTTCCAGATCAACCAGACCTTCTGCCACTCGATCCTGACAATCTGACGAACGCCCGAGTCCAGAGACCTGTACAGGCTTCCAACGGGCTTGGGTGGGCCTGCATTCATTTATTAAGCGCTTCCATGACGAAGCCCAGCTGCCTCCCCTCGACGAGTTCCATCCTCAATGGGGAGATTTCACATGCACGTTATTCTCCAGTTCCTCCAGCGGTGCGCGAACCAGCGATGGTGAAAATACGTGGGAGACCTCGCGGTTCATGGAACAAAACAACGCGGAACCCCTCGAGGTTTGAAGTCGTCGACCAACACTGGAGACGCAGGCGAGAAAGGAGGGAAAGGTAGTGAGAGACAGCGACCTAGAAAACCCGTCCAACCATACCGTGAACCATACACGCCGTCGCTCAATAAACAGTAGTACGAATTGAATGATGCATCCTATCCCGTTCAATAGACGGTCGCGCCAAAGGGCGCCGTTTCCTTGAGATCCTCCACCAGGTCTTCCACGTTGTTGAGATACCTCCCGAGGAGCGCCTGCTTCTCATCCGTCGTCCGCGTGTCTCGACTGCCCCTCGGGCCATGGGGACCGCCCGGCACATTGACGCTCCTGGACACCGGTCCCCCGAGCTTGCTGGGACTCCGCTGCAGTCCCGTATTGGGGGCGCTCACCGCGGTCATGGGCGTCTCGGGCATGAGGTAGAAGTACAGAAACTCGACCAGTTTGAGCTTGACTTCGCGGGAGGTGGCGCGCTGCTTGAACAAGGAGGTCACGGTGAGCAGGCCGTCCAGCTCTTCAAAGGTGCGCGTGTTGGCGGGGTGGTCGAGGAGGGCGGTCACGAGGGTGAGGAGAGTGGCGGATTGGATGGCCGGGCAATTGATCGGATCCAGCAGGTCCAGGAGGATGTTCATGTAGATTTCGCGGGCGAAGAGGGTGCGCGACGGCGGGTGGAGCAGCAGCGCGCCTTGGATCAGGTCCAGGGTCGAGATGATGAGGAGATCGTTGGTGCCGTTACTCCCACGACCGAGGAGATGCTCCAGACAAGTCACCAGACGCATTGCGACTGTCTCGCTACGTTAGCGTACCACGTCGCGGCGGCAGGACAGCATGACCTCGGGGCACGTACCATTCCACTGAAATCCCTCCTGCAATTTGAAAAACTCCCTGAAGGCGGGATCGTCCTTGAGCTCGGACAGAGCCTTGGGGGGCGGTTGTGGAGCACCGAAGGACAACAGCGACCTCCGTTTGTCAGACACTGGCTGTTTCGACTTGGACAAACATATCTGCGCCAGAAGGCCCTCGACCTGACGTAAGCCTTTGCGGACCTTGCTTGGCTCGTACGAGGAAAGATAGTCGAACGAATGGGCCAGTAAAGTCTCCATGGGAGAGGATAGAGGTAGCAGATAGGAATTCACTGTTGACTGTTGGGATTGAAATAGGATGAGAAGAAGAATGCGAGAGACGAGAGACCGCAAACAAATGCTTGTTCTGGCCGGGTGCCAAGAAAGATGGAACCAAGACTGATGTAAGAGAGGGCCCCAGGGTCTTGAGAAGAATAGTTAGAGCATCTGGATGATAAATACTAGTCAGTTAGTAGCTCTTCAGCTGGCGATGAGGCTGGAGTTCGTCTCCACCGCCAGCAAAGCGCCCCATGGTTGCCGGGGGAACAGGTGATCTTCATCTTCAGCCAGCCATGACGTTGATTCTTTTATGTTCATCCCGGGGGATGCACTGCGCACGGAGTAGAACTGGGGGGGTTTTGTAGAGATTGAGAGCAACAGTGTTGATTTGTTTACTATCTAACGGAGGGCCAGGTCAGAAACCGAAAAATAATTGAATGCCCCCCCATTTCTCTGTTCCGAACAAAGGGTAGGTAGCCCTACCGCCTGGCCACAAAGGCTAGTATTAGTCAGTGCATCCATGACAAACTAACTAAATATAGTTAGTGACTATGGATCAACAGTACGGCCGAGGACCCGGTTGCACAAATCCATTATCCATGCTTATTCATTGCTTAGGTAGCTAGTTATGTAAATATGTGACTTATGATGGTGTTACTAACACTACTACCTACTACGTCCTTGTACATACTCGTTATCTGTCACATGTGATCTTCGACGTCACGTTTCTTCGAGCGTTCTCCGCATCTTCACTCTGACAGCCTGCAGCGCCTATATATGACAGCTGGCTGTTCTGCATCATCATCACAGCTCATATCCCTCTGCTATCTATCGGATATATGCACCCCTCAGCCACCCCTCAACCACCCCTGCATCCCGAACAAATCTCACCTCATCTCACCCATGTCGTTCTCAGACTCCCACTTCCCCCCCGCTTCGATCCCCCCGCGCGTCAGCTCCGCCGGCATGGGCAGCCATCCCTCTCGTCGCCACGCCCGCAATCGCTCCAGCGTCGACGGCACCAAGTACAAAGATGGCCTGTGGTCAGCCGAGAATGAGAGGATCCTGATGGGACCATACGACTACCTGTTGCAGCATCCGGGAAAAGACATCCGCCGGCAGCTGATCAACGCCTTTGATGCCTGGCTGCAGGTGCCGCCGGATAGTCTCGCCATCATTAATAAGGTGGTTGCGATGCTGCACACCTCATCTCTCCTGTACGCCCAAATATTTCGATTTGTATGGGCGAATTCTCACTGGACTTCTCTAGCATCGACGATGTCGAAGACTCCTCCGCTCTCCGCCGCGGCATCCCCGTCGCGCACAGCATCTACGGCACCGCACAAACCATCAACTCCGCCAACTACGTCTACTTTCTCGCGCTCCAGGAGCTGCAGAAGCTCAACAACCCCGCCGCCATCGACATCTACGTGAAGGAGTTGCTGAACCTGCACCGCGGCCAGGGCATGGAGCTTTTCTGGCGCGACACCCTCACCTGCCCCACCGAAGACGAGTACCTGCAGATGGTCGGCAACAAAACCGGCGGCCTGTTCCGCTTGGCGGTCAAGCTCATGCAGGCCGAGAGCAAGACCGGCAAGGACTGCGTCAGCCTCGTCAACGTCCTGGGCCTCATCTTCCAGATCTGCGACGACTACCTCAACCTCGCCAACACCACCTACGCCGAGAGCAAGGGTTTCTGCGAGGACCTGACCGAGGGCAAGTTCTCCTTCCCCATCATCCACAGCATCCAGTCCAACCCCCAGAACCACCAGCTGCTCAGCATCCTCAAGCAGCGCACCACCGTCGAGGAGGTCAAGATGTACGCCATCAGCTACATGGAGAGCACCGGCAGCTTCGTCTACACCCAGAACGTCGTCCGCGAGCTGCGCGACAAGGCCCTCAACCTCATCGACGAGATTGACAACAGTGGACATGGCAAGCAGCCCGAGGGACAGAACGGCGCCATGGTCCGCGCCATTCTCGACAAAATCACCGCTACCACCCTCAAGGAGTACACCGGTGCGGGGAAATAGACCGGGAGCATTCATCCCTTTCTTTTTTTGATTAACCCTTGGTGTAACGAACAGGTGATGGACAGTTTAGCGTTGCGATGCAGTTCCCCGCGCGCGCGCGGAACGTATGATGCCCCATGGATCATGATTGATGACAGCAATTTGAAGATACCTAGACATGTTCTTTTTGGTGTAGGACAGGATCCAGACGGGTCTTTTCTTTTGGTCACGAAGAGTTAGATTTTTTGATTTTGGCTCTAATATGATGTGAAAATTTGCTCGTCCTCTGGGTATACCGATCCAAAAAGCAGTTGACAGCGGACGTTGCAGAAAAAGTACTCCAGAAGATCTTAGCCTAGTCTTCTCGCGTGCATTACCCAAAAACAGTACCTGTTGTATATATCCGTAACATCAAGACAAGTAGATCGTTGATCGCGTCGACTACATCACCACACAGCAAGCCTTCTCCAGCTTGCGCATGACACGAGGCAGAACCGCATTGACCACCTGCTCGACCGGGTCCTGCTGTTGCTGCTGCTGGTGATGTTGTTGGTGCTGCGGGTGCGACTGCTGCCCAGGATACTGGTGGTGGGACGGGGTGTGATGACCACCGCTGCTGCCACCGGCCGCAGCCAGATCGGCCGGACCGCCCGTCAGATTGACATAGATGCGGCCGGCGTTTTCCTCCGTCGTGTACTGCAGACCGAGTTCCCGGCACACCTGCTCGACGCGCGGCTTGATCTTCTGAACATGGTGGGCGGAATGGTTGCCCTTGCCCACGATCCTGCGACACCGCGGCGGTTAGCCCAGTCATGTTGAACAATGTGCGCCGGTCTGAACAGACGCGCGACAAAGGATCAGGTCGGCGGCGAGGGAGGAAAACTCACACATGGAGGTGTGTCTGGCCGTGGGCTTTGGCGTATTTAATGCGCTCTTCGAGGATCTCCTCGGCCTCCTCAACGAACTGGCCGTGGAGATCAATGGTGTCGGCCGCGACTCGGCCATTGGCATTGTTTTCGCGAAAGATGAACTCCGATGCTTGCTTGTTGTATTCGTCCATCTTGCGGCCGTGGGCTTTGCCCTGTTCCGAGAGTTCCTTGGCCCTTGCGCCATCGCCGCTGGTATACGCCTCTTGCGACTGCGGTCGTTAGTCTGGTGATGCGCCCGTTATTTGGAAAGGGTGTGGATCGCTGCCGGAGGAGGGAGGGATAGGCGGAAGAGGAGGCGCACCCGTTGAAAGCATGAATTGCGCTTGGAAGCCTCCTGGCGGGCGAGGTCGCGTAAACGATCGTATTCCGCTTCAGCGTCGTTGCTTTGCTCGTGGTTGAAGGCTGGATTCCCCGATGGGGATGGAGTCAGTCGGTGGAAAGTGCGCGAGCGCAGGAATGCGGTCGGTTCTCACCCCGAGGGCCCATGTAGGACATTTCGTGCATTTTGAAGGGGGTATATTCGGATGCGACAGAGATCGAAATCTCGGTGGACGATGCCGTGAACGAACGGGTATTGACGGGCGCTTGTATAAATGAGTACTGTATATATGTATAAAATTGTATGAAGAAGGTCTAATACAAAAGAGGGTCTATCAGAACATCTGGGTCACTGCATCGAGAACGAGGCGGATGTTCGTGAGCATTCAAGCGAAACGAGGGAGAGATCGGATCGCGGATCGGAGGAATCAATCAATCTCTGGGAGTTGGCGGTGGAGCCTGATCGAGGTACCAGGGATCATCACCCAAGCGCAGTCGCCACTACGTTCTCTAGTTGCAGGTGCAATCCGACCAGTCCAGAGGTCTGCGGCTAAGATGTTCTCATCGAGAGTCTTCTTTTCTTATTTCGGTTAGGCTTCTCGTCTTTCCGCTGGGATCATGGGGACGATAGAGCGATACGGGACTAGGTACCCGACCGCATGGATCGGAATTTCGTCAATAGAATCCACACAGGAGGCACTCATTGTACTCGGACGAACATGTGAGTAAGCACATACTTCAAACCGCCTGATAAAGAGTGGTAAAGAGTGAAAGGAACGGGTCCAGGAGAGCGGACAAAACAACATAGCGTGCGGCATGGAAGACGACTAGAAGCAATAGAGGGTGGAGAGGGTCGCCTAGTCTGCTGGCAGAACCATGGTTACTGTCCGGATTGGATGGGTTCGACCTCCGCTCAAAAAAAAGATCGGAGAAACGATAGAAGGGCCATGATGGAGAGTGTGTGGAGGACACACGGAGGAGTCTCCGTCAGGACGAGAGGATCTATCACATCAGATGCTGTGATCGGAGCCCACGAACACCAAATGACGCTTATCAGTCGGAGAGTTTGTAGATGGGATGATTATGTAAAGCACGCTCTGGGGAGACCAAGATCGACACCAGCAAAAGGTCCAGTGGGGATTACCGTACTGTACGGAGTATCATATCAAAGCTGGCCCTGATTTTCATTCGGGGCTCAGGTACCAATGAGGAAGCACAAGAGAGACCATGCGGACTAGTGCTTCGTAGGAAGTGGGCTTTCTCCTCCACGCTCTATCCATGGTTGGCATCCTGGAGAATCGAGGGCGTCAACCGGTGGACGAGAGCGGCCTCAATTTTGTGGTCCGGCGGGAACCCGAAACCTTCTGGAAAAGCTGGTGGAAGGCGATGGAGAAATCAGGAGCATCTGTTATCATCCCGACCTTTGTCGTGTGTCAAGTCGACCAGACAACACCTGAGATCATGTTTGGCCTGATACAACAGACGACACATGTTGACGGATGTTCCGCCATTGTCCGAACGGAGATGCGGTTTGAAACGTGTGACAAGACCAATTGGAAACCGCGCCTCCTAGGGCTTGTGCCGAACTGACTTGGGTTCTTCAGCAGTGATAAGGGAGAATCCCCGATATCAACCCCATACTGATAGACACTCACGCGTCATGCCGAATCGGAAACCCTAAGCGAATGAAGTCATCGGATGGATGTACAGAGTATGCAACAGAACGATCACATCGGTTAAGCCTAGACGGTAATGGTGTGCTTGGGGTGGTTGTCTGATCATGGTATGGTCTCAGGTACTAGCTCCTCCCAAGAGTGCCGGCATGGCGGATCTGCAGGACCGGAAATTACCCCAGTTGTAGAGAGTACACAATGGACGACCTCACTTCCCGGTGAAGTGTTGATGGAAAAGATGGTTGATACTCCGGATGAGAATACTTCCTCATGAAGAAGTACGCCGGAGGAGAATGGTTCAAGAAGACAAGAGTCCGGAGGGAGGCTGCAGACGCGATGGAGACGATGAAAATTATCCCGATGCTCATCCACCGCGCTAACAGGCAGGAAGTTCAAGTTGTGATCGAAATCGTCGGAGAGGATCCACTCGCCAAAAGGGGATGTCTCAGGGAATATCCTCATTGGACCACTCTTGGTGAGACCCCACTCTCCCGGGGCATCTGCCACCAATCGTTCCATCTCCAGTCCCCCACTCCCCCCTAATAGCTCCGTTTCATTGGTGTATCGTTCCAGAAATGAAATCCCCAACTCTCCTCCTTTTTTTTCCTTCTCTGACGCACGCCCCGCTTCTTCCCTCTTACCTACTCTTTTCCTACCATTTCCCCCCCCTTACTGAGCTTACCTCTCCTGATTCTAACCTACTCTTCCTCTTCCTCTCCTTTTCGTCTTCCTTTTGCTTCCTTCAGCAAACCCGCCATAATCACTTCGTCCTAATTGGGGTGGTCATTGTGAGATCTAGAATTCATTCTTCTGAGTTCTTTTCTTTTTCTGTTCGATCCTTTCCCTACTTTCGCCTCTCTCTCGCTTCCTCCTTTCGCCCATTACGCCGCTCTCCGTTACCTAGGTGTATTACTGTTTCACCTTTTCTTCGCCTCCTTTCTGCTTAGTCCCGAAAAGTTGCGCGCCCATCACATCCAATTTTTCCACCCCCCTTGCCTTCCGTTCTTCTCTCGGTGCTTGGGTTCTTCTGCAAATTGCAGCCCTGATTTCATCCAATTCGCCTTTGTTGTCGAAGTACCCGGTTCATTCGCCTCGCTTTGGTGTTGGGTAAGTCGCTGTCCGTGTTGTGACCGCTCCCTGATAGATCCACTGCACACTCCTTGCATCGGCACGATCACTCGTCCTGCGAACAACGTCCTTTTCTGCTGGTTTCATTTCCTTTTGTGATGTTTCTTCCAATTGTGGCCCGTCGCAGTTTTGTCCCACGTTGACGGTCACCGACTATCTGGTTTCGATCCGGCGGTGCGCGGAGAATTCCCCTGGGCTAACTTGGCTTTCTCCTCTAGCTGCCATCAACCATTCCTCCCGTCCCACTTCGACTTTCTTCATCTTTACGTCGCCTTTAATCTACCCTGATATTTCAATACCGCCAGCATGGGTTGTGGAATGAGTACCGAGGATAAGGAGGGGAAGGCCCGGAACGAGGAGATTGAGAACCAGCTCAAGCGGGACAAGATGTTGCAGCGGAACGAGATCAAGATGCTTCTTCTCGGTATGCCGACCCCTTTCACCTGGCGATGACGGCGTCGTTTGGTTTGGTCCGGTCATTAACGGTCGCGGTTCAGGAGCGGGAGAGTCGGGCAAGTCGACAATCCTCAAGCAGATGAAGCTGATCCACGAGGGCGGATACTCCCGGGATGAACGGGAATCCTTCAAGGAGATCATTTACAGCAACACGGTGCAGTCGATGCGTGTCATTCTCGAAGCGATGGAGTCGTTGGAACTGCCCCTGGAAGATGCCCGTAACGAATACCATGTGCAAACCATCTTCATGCAGCCCGCTCAAATCGAAGGCGAGACTCTTCCCCCGGAGGTCGGCAACGCGATCGGAGCCTTGTGGCGGGATACTGGTGTCCAGGAGTGTTTCAAGCGGTCTCGCGAATACCAACTGAACGACTCCGCTAAATAGTGAGTCTCGCCATGGCTCGTTGGGATCTGGTTCATTCACTAACCGTCGCAGCTACTTCGATGCCATTGAGCGCATCGCTCAACCTGATTACCTCCCGACCGATCAGGATGTCCTCCGCTCCCGTGTTAAGACGACCGGTATCACCGAAACTACCTTCATCATTGGCGACTTGACCTACCGGATGTTCGACGTGGGTGGTCAGCGGTCCGAGCGGAAGAAGTGGATTCACTGCTTCGAGAACGTCACGACCATTCTCTTCCTCGTCGCCATCTCCGAGTACGACCAGCTGTTGTTCGAAGATGAGACCGTCAACCGTATGCAGGAAGCCCTCACCCTGTTCGACTCGATTTGCAACTCCCGGTGGTTCGTCAAGACCTCCATCATTCTGTTCCTCAACAAGATCGACCGCTTCAAGGAGAAGCTGCCCGTCAGCCCGATGAAGAACTATTTCCCCGACTACGAGGGTGGCGCTGACTACGCCGCGGCTTGCGACTACATCCTCAACCGTTTCGTCTCTCTGAACCAGGCAGAGCAGAAGCAGATCTACACCCACTTCACATGCGCCACTGACACCACGCAGATCCGGTTCGTCATGGCCGCAGTCAATGGTAAGTCTAACCCACCCAGCCACCTCAGCTGACCCCGTCGCTAACGTGCCATGCAGATATCATCATCCAAGAGAACCTCCGTCTGTGTGGTCTCATCTAATGACTGATATCCTTTGATTTGGTACGGTTTCTTTCTACTTTTAGACCGTGAGCTACGTGGGTTGTAATTCTGTCTTTTGATATTGGATGTGTTCCTTATACCTTGTCGCAATCTTGAAGACCCGGCGTTGAGACATTCATTTGTCTTTTTCTTTTTTCTTTTCCTTATTAATTTCTATTCCCTTTGTCTTGAAATGATATCTAGCCGGCTCTTTGTTATCAGCATTACCGATATCCATCCCATGACACAGAGCAGGAGTTTCTTTGTTACCCCCATCTTTTCTCCATAAGCAGCGGGTTAGCTGTGGAAGTCTACTGGTGTTCTGGAGCAGACCAGGAGCTGATCCTTCTGATGCTGTCATGGAATTCCTGGTGGATATATCTTTTCTTGTCGTCTTTGTGTCCTGTTACCCTCTCTTGTGATTTACCCTTTCCTTTTTGTCATGTGTTTCTGATTTGGAAGCTGGATATCCCATCATCTCTTGGTGCCCCTCGTCATCAACTTGTATGTAAATCATATATCACGCATCTTTCCTTGGTCTCTCTCCACCGAAAGCTACGAGCGACGGGTCCGGACGCGGGAATGGCGATGTCCTTATCATGTGTCATGCTGGGTCGGTCATGGGTATAGTCAGAGCCTAGAAGGATGAAATGTCTCCTTGTACTTTGAGTTGTGGCTGTGAATAGAAGCGAGAAAGCTGGAGTTGAAGCTGAAAATAAGGTAATCTAGAAAGCAAAATTCACTCCCCGCAGGTATCGCTCGTAGAATCGGTCAAGGATGTATCCTCCATCTAGGCTAAAGATGCTAGAATCAAATGAGCACCAGAACTCCTACCAACCAAACTGAAGCAGACGCTAAATCAGAACCGCAACTTCGGTCCCAGAAACACGATCAAGACCGCAACCAGCCACAGCCCAAAGATCCACGCATACAGCATCATCCGCCCCCACCAGCCCTTGCCCTCGGTCATTCGCCGCAGCATGCCCATGCGCCGCCCGGCCGCCTCCATATTGCTCGTCGTCCGGTCGATCCCCTCCACCGCCCGCTGCAGCACCGACTTCTCCGACTCCAGCGACGACTGGAACGCCTGCGACGACGTCTTCAGCTGCGTCGCGAGCGACAAAAGCGAATTGGTGAGTTCCTCCTGTTCGGCGCGATGGTCGGTGAGCGTCTGTTCCCTGGCTTGGAGCCTGGACGTGTCCGCAGGGGACGGGGACTGCGGGCGATGTCCATGGAGGGAGGAGCCCGTCGCCGTCGCCTGTGCGTCTGCCGGTGCATGGCTGCGGTTGCGAAGCGTCGATGTGGCAGCCGTGGTCGACATAGGTGGTTCGGCGGCCGTCGTCGTCGTTGCTGCTGTTGGTAGTGCTGTCGGCGCAGCTCCCGTGGCCTGCGGCGTAGTCTGTGACGGTGTCGCGGCGTCACTGTCCCGATCTACCCCCTCATCGGATGTGTTTCCCTCGTCGGGCGTGCCTAGCAACAAATCCTCCACTGCGTCTGCCTCCGACTCCTCGTCGTCGTCATGCTGCTGGGTCCCGCGCAGCTCAGCCTCGGCCTGGACGTCATCCAGCACCTGCTGCAGGCGCTTGAGGGTCTGGCGGTGGCGGGAGAGGTCGGTTTGGAGCTCGTGGCGGCGGTCGAGGGGTTTGATCTGGGGGAGGCTCCGTTCGAGGGCGTGGAGGTGGGTGCGGGCGTAGTCGATGTTCTATTTCGCCGTTAACATTCAATTCTCTCGGTGTAGCGGGGCAAAGGGGGGATAAGCTGGCACGTACAGCCCCGACTCGCATCCGCTGCAGCTCCGACTGGCGCAGCGGCTTCAGGTCCGCGGCCGGTGACAGGAGGTTGTGTTCGAGGCGCGCAAACAGACGGGTCAGACTGAGGATCGCCAGGTCCGTCGAGTCCCCTATTGCCTCGTAGGTGGTTATCGTCATTTTGTAGGCGTGGTTGGAGTGTATGCGTGTATGAGGGGAGAGCGTTGGGTACAAACCTACGGAGTAAAGTAATGTCGTTTGGTGCGGAGGGTATGCATGTGGATGACTAAGCTGTGTCTGCATAGAGATGCATCTTAGCAGCCATACGAAACATCTTCCATAGACGATAGATAGGGAATGTCTAGGGCAAATACGTAGGGGGTTATCTACTCGGATACTCCTACTAGGGAGATATGATCAGAGCGTGATTCCCTAACTTTGGTTTATATAAGGATCGTCAATCATCACCAGCAAAGCAGAGCAAGCTGAAAAAAAATGTCAAGCGTGCGAACAGCCCACCAGTCCAGCCCCGTCTCGCTAGGTAATCGTGTGCGCCTGGATCGGGGACTGTCACTGGTCATAGAGAAAGCACGGCAAACAAACGAACCAAAAGGCCTGTAGAACCCGGAAACGTACTCCGTATATGTACCCGCACCGCAGAACGAACCGCAACAAAACCGAGTCAGCCCGAACGCTAGCTGTACTCCATCATCACGCGGCGCCACGCGCGCGCGCCCTCCTCGTCCACGCCGTATAGATGCTGCACCGTCTGGCTGCGCTTCTGGACGGGCTGCGGCTCGCCCGCCCCAGACACGCCGCCAGCCAGTTCGGGGAGATCATCTGGACGCCACCCAGTCGGTGAGAAGGCACTCGACTGCGGGTCGTCGAGCGCCGCGCACGACTCGTCAGACGAGCCAGACGGACGGAGCGTCCGATCTGACCACGCCAGCTCTATTGAACGCGCGCCACCACCGCCGCGGCCCTCGCCGCGGCCAGGCACGCCATTAGCGTGCGGTGGTGGATCAACGGAGCCTAGCACGTCGCCTGTGGCCGCCAGGCACGCTGGCGCCGCGGCGGCGCCGGCAGCGGCAGTGGTGGTGGTGGTGGTGGTGGCCCGGGCCCGCCGCTCGCGGCTCAGCACCGCGGCGAGATAACCACTCGACGGCAACGGGGTCAGTTGGGACAGCGGCTGCAGGATATCGCAGGCCGAAGGAAGAGACGGCAGGCCGTCGCGCGGTGATGATGGCGGGTGGGCGTCCGTCGAGGGATCGCGGCCCACCACCGCCAGGTCTGCTCGTTCCTTGCCACCGTAATTGGGCGGGTTCGGGTCCATTTGCCTCTTGGGGGCTGCTGTTGGTGTGAATCGCCCGCCTCGGACACGCCGTCTGATACGCTGTACCAGAATCGCGATGCAGAGCACGCACGCAATCGGAAAGGTAATTCCAAATAGATAGATCTCGAGATCCGCGACGGTGGACCGGGGGTCATTCCTGGGGCCCATCGCATGGGTCGCTGTCGTCTCGACCACTTGCCTCCCCGACTGAAGGAGGCGACTTCCACCACGACGAGACTGTAGTCGTTGGAGGTCTTGATGCTGTAGGTTGATTCAGACGACGATTCTAGACTCAGTCCTGAAATCCTGAAAAATGCGAATGATGGTGGGTTGACCCTCGATATGAACTAGTATAGCTTCAGCACTGTCAGGTGTAGAGCAAGAACAAGAGTCTGACCACAAATTTTCAAGAGATTCTTCTTGGCTTTGATATTGTCTTCAATATTATGGAGTCGACATGGACCATAAATCAAGAAAAGAAGGCTGATGATGTGAGACGTGATGGCATATACTACCTCTTATAGTTGCTCAGGACTGCCCCAATGCAGGATAGGATCTAAGTAAACCCAAAAGCAAAGAAAATCACATCCCGGTCTGCGAACGGCCCGGCGAGGGAAGTACCAGATTCTAATAGTATTTCAGGCAAGAACGAGAACTAATGCAGACGACTCCACCATGCAGGGACTCTCACACAAAGGGCGGCATGTCTGAAGCAGTGCTAATCTGGGAGAAGGGGAGGGAGGGGGGCCCTTCTGGAGCCAGGCCCGACTCCAGCTGTGTCAGGACCAGCCACGAGAGCTTGCTACGAGCCGAGTCTACGGCAGTCTCCAAATCCATGGCTGTCATAGGACAGGGATGGTCCAAAAAGCTGGGAAGAACGTCGGATATTCAGCTGTTGTGAGAGTGCGC